TTTTATTTTTTAATATTTTATTTTTATTTATTTATTCATTTTTATTAAATATTTGTATTATTTACTTAACTTTTAGGGGCTTCGGTATTGGGGCTCTAAACAGGCCCCTGATATTTCCCTTTTAAAATAGAAAAAGAGATTGAGAACACTCAAGATTGAGTCCTCAATCTCTTTGCAGCCCCTGTTATAAATGAACAGGAATCTTCTATACTGGGTGTTCCTGTTCATTCATAACATGAGGACAGAGTATGTTTACTATAACCACAATCATGAATGATCAGGAGGTGATGTAGATCACTTCCCATTCATTCATAATTGAGGATATAGTAAACATACAATGTCCTCAATTATGTACAAACACTCACTGATCACTGACTCCTTGTACCCGCTCTCCATCTTGACAGCTGTCACAGGAGGCTGGGCGTGGTTGCGCGGGAGGAGAGCTCAGCCTCCTGTGACAGCAATGACAGCTGTCTCCGTCCACACTGCTCTGCCGATCTGTGGCAGGAGGCTGAGCGGTGTGGGAGGAGAGACTCCGGCCGCTCACATTGCTCTCCTCCCGCAGCGCTCGGCCTCCTGTGACAGTTTCTCTCCTCCCCGCTGGGACACAGAGCAGCGTCCAGCGGGGAGGAGAATACACGTTACACGGATGCATCGCTATTTTGGTCAAAAAAAATCACTTTTGGCATATTGCCAAAAGTGCCATTTTTGGCCAATATTTTTCGGCGGCCGATATATCGGTCCATCCTTAATTGTTATGCAGGGAGGATTGCAGATCTACATAAGTAGACAAAAATAAAATAAAAATGGAATAGCCCATAAAAAACAAAACAAAAACAGCTTGGCTGCAATGGACCCCGCCCCCCCCCGGTAGTAGTGACTAGAAGTGCTGCCGGACACTTCCTCTGACATCATGTCTGGGAAAGCTATTTAAACCAGCTCAGTGTATTTCTGAGTTTTTCTGAGCAAAGACCTCTCTGAACATCTGTTCTCCGACTCCTGTACCCGTGATCCTTGTTCCAGTTCTGTACGGCCTCTGATACCCGTCTGATAAGCCTTGTTATCCACCAGCCCTGACCTTTTGCCTGTTTCTATACGATCTTTGTTAGCCACCATCCTTGACCTTTTGCCTATTTGACCATGACCTTGCCTGTGTGTTGGAACGGCCACTTGTAGTCTTCATCAGGAGCCCTTTTGACAGGATGACAAAACAGGAGCACAATTGGAAGACAGGGACAGGACATTGCCTCCCAATAGTGGATGCGTATAAAGAGCCTTCATGGCAGGAACACCACGTATTATTTTAGGGCCTAGTCACACCAGAAACCATGCATGCATTTTTGCATGTACACTTTTATGAATTTTATTTGTGTTTACATGCATTTGATATATGTTTATATGCATTTGCAGTGTTTTTTCTAAGCAGGTTTGGCTTTTTTTTCTTCATTACAAGTATCTTTATCAAAACCTTATTTGTGCTGCAATTTTCTTTTAGATGTTGTCCTTGTAATATCTCTTGTTCATAGAGCTCTGGGTGCTTCCGAACCACGCTAATGAAAGATTCCACATCCACTCATCCCTTGGCTGCAATCATGATGCTTAATTACAGTCTGCACTGTTCCCAGTACACCACATGTATAACCAGCAAGTAAAATGGGAAAGGATTGGTCATAGGTGGAGGTAAATTATATGTCTTTATGTGGGTTTGCAGTGCAAAAAAAAGGAACTATTTGCTGTACACTTGCTGTACTCTTTTTCACTGCACTGCAACTCAAAGCCCTGGTGTGAACTAAGCTCAATAGCTAACATGTATTGTGGACTGTCTATGCAGTAGGAATGCATAAAAAAAAAACACCTCCCACTGCTTCTAATATGAATGGACCCTTCATTCTTCCTCCCGTCTATGTTACTGAATGTCTGTACCTTGGGAGGGAGAATCTGCAGGAGTCAGAGCATTGTACACACCATTCACACAACGCAATGCTTAACTGATTCCAATGCAAATAAATAATACATTAATTTTTTTAAAATTTATTGTAAGTTTGCATTCATGATGTTTTTGAAAAAAAGTGGAAATTCCCTTTAAAGTGTACAGTATGTCTGGGCAAAATCTAAAAATACCTTTGCAGTACATCTCTGCAGCACATGCACATTTCCCCTTGTTTCATCTCTTTGGCATGCTGAGCTCAGATTTACGATGTTGTGTTGCTGTAACACACTATTCACTGTGCAAGTTACCGCAGCGTGCAGCAATGCACCCTGGTGCACAATGGAAGTGCATTGTGTTACACTGTTAAAAATACTACATGCACCTTTTTGGTGGTTTAGGTAGACAGTAAATGGGCTGCCTTGGGCTGCGATCACACCGGTCCTATCAAATGTGCATTGGACAGATACCTGATGGAGACGAGTTGATGATGGGGCTTCTCTTGCACCTCCTGTCCAACTCCCCTGGTGAAGACGTGGAGTGGCAGTGTAAGTGACATTACTTGAATCTGTGCGGCTGTTTGGTGCATTGACCAGACAACTGTAGACCATGGTGCCCGAACCAGATGCAGGAACGCCAAGGTACAAGAGCAGATTACAGAAATGTAGACGAGACACAAGCCATGGCTGGTAGGAGGTGGGCAGCAAGGTAGCAGATCGGGAGACAGAAGCAGAATCGGGGTCACAAGCCGAGATTGATCACCGGGCAGCAGAGATACAAGTCAGAAAGCAGTAAACGAAGTCCAATAGGCAGACCAAGGTCGCCATGAGGGGGCAAATGTCCACAGGACAATCAGAAGGCAGGCCGGGTCGTACACGAGAAGGCGGAATTAGCAAATCAGGTCGTGGGGAATTAGGAACAAGCTGATGACCGCTCAGCAATCTCTCTCTGCAGCTCTCCAGTTTAGAAAGGGCATTTGGTGCCAACACCTGTGTGCGGGTCCGACAGTCACCCTATGCACAGGGTGATTTTTCTGAACGCGTGCATTTATTTAATTTTTTTCTAAAAGGTGGAATTTCCCTTAAATGAGAACTGCAGCTTTACAAATATTGAAAACTACCTTTAAAATTATATTAAGATGTTAAAGATAAGATAAGAATGTTAATGATTGAGTTTAAATATACTTTCAAAAACTGGCTTTGTGGTTTGGACTTGTTAGCTCTTTTTGACTCACCAAACCTTGCAGAAATGAGCCTATCCGGTGCAGTAAATTAATTATAAGTAAAAATATTAGGGCTGGTAATGATTAAAATTTTCCTGTTCGATTAATCAAATTTGTTAATTCAAAATAATTTTGATCGATCAAAGAAATGAATGATTAATCGACGGATTAATCGTTAATTTCCGCACCCCTAAAAAATATAATATAAATAATATGAATAAATGTAAAAAAAAAACATGTTTTAAAGGCACGGTATTAAAATAAAACATAGTCCTAAGCACCAAACCTCTCCGCACTGGAGGATAAGATGGTTATGTGTAACTGAACGAGCTGAAAATGAACGCATGTATCTATCCAGTTTATATGTACTCTGGGCCGGATTTACTCTCTCTGCTGCCCCAAGACCAGGTTCCTCAATGCGGGCGGGAGAGGTCAATGGCACCGCAGCCACGCCCCCCGCCCGCAGTGCGATTGGACGCGTGGCAAAACATTGCCTGCGTTCCGGTCCACTGTAAATGCAAAAAAATGCTGCATGGTCTATTGCGGGTGGGTGGGCCGTGGCTGCAGCTCGCGGTATACTGAGCCTAGGGTAACGGGAGGACGCTAGTTTGTGTCCTCCCGTTACCCTTAGGAGAAGTATGGGGAAAAACACTGACCCCATAGTTCTCCTTTAACCTTGTCCTAAAGCTTTGTGCGTTGAGACTGGAGAATATTGATACAAACTCTCAAAAGTGGCCTTGCCTGGCATAACAACAGGCTCCATGGGCGGTCCCTTCAGCAGCACACACTTCTATTCCCATCACTCCCCCACCACTCCATTCACCAGCCAGGGTTTTTTTTTACAATGTGTCATTCAATCAACTTCCTGTGTGTCTTGGGTGTCAAGGCTCCCCCCCTCTGCCTGGACTCACAGAGGAATCCTGCAGTGAGCATCATTGCACCACCCCCACCCTTTGCAGCATTTAGGGCCTGTCCACCTGCAGAGGAAGAAGAGGGCAAAGAGGGCCTGTAATGTCACCGAACCAAAGACACCTGGATAAAAGGTATGTATTGAGATTTTGGTGTGGGAGTGCTCCAATTGGTGGGGTGGGGCAAACAGGAGGGTAGAGTAAGGATGGGCTTGGGCGTGTTCGCAGCTCCACGTGCCGAGCCCGCCAGGAAGCTGACAGCGCGCAGTGCCAATCACAGGCACTGAGACATTTCCCGATCTCTGCAGCTGCGGACCAGGAAAATGGCTCAGTACCTGTGATTGGCGCTCCCAGCTTCCTGGCGGGCTCGGCATGTGGAGCTGCGAACACGCTCGAGCCCATCCTTAGGGTAGAGGAGTCTGTTAAGCCCCTGCACTACTTCTTTGCTGCAACTAGATGATCCATAAGCATTCACCCCACTTCCTCGGAGCCCAAGTCATCCTTGACCCGCCCCCAGCCTGTGATTGGACAACGAAAGGAGCAGTAGCACAATGATGAGCTCATCTATCACTCTGCTCTTTCCTCCTATCAGCATGTCATCCTGGACCCGCCCCCAGCCTGTGATTGGACAATGAAAGGAGCAGTAGCACGGCGATGAGCTCATCTATCACTCTGCTCTTTCCTCCTATCAGCATGCTTCTTGTCAGCAGGAACATTGACAGACTCGTTTTGCTGCTTCTTTTTCTCTCACTTCAGCTCCACATGGAATTTAGCTTTTAGGGACACTTGGTGGAGTTCTGCTTATGGCAAACCTCAGCAAGGATCTGCACTTTAACAAAGTGATCTTTTATGTCACTGTGATGCAGGACACGACTTTAGAGATTCATCATACTGGGATTGCATGTTACTATAAGTGCTGGTTAGCGTGATCTGATCCCCCCAGAGACTGATGAGGAGCCCCCCATCGGCAGCCGGGGAGGAGAGGGGGAGCGAGTGCGGCTCCGGGGACTGCTCGTCCTCCGAGGGGTCCTCACAGTGCAGCACGCTGCTTGACCTCCCCATTGTGACCATTGAGAATATCCTGAACTTCCTGAGCTACGACCAGATCAGCCAACTGCGCCTGGTGAGAGGGGAGCCGGCCGGGAGGGGGCGCTGTGCTAGCTTAACCCTTCACTGCATAACCCTACCTATCTTTCCAGTGCTGACTGGGGACTCTGACTCCTGCCCCCCCTTCCAAGGGACTCCCCTCACCTGCCAAGGGGCGCTGCATGCTGCAACCCCCCACCTGCTGTCTACCCCCTCCCCCATCATGCTACCCCCACCTACCGCTGACATGGGGTTCTGCATGCTGCACCCCTGCCCCCACTTACTGTATATTACCCCTTCCTCCTCCATTTTATACCACCTCAATATTCCGGGAGGTCAATACACATTGCCCTTTCCCTAATGTACCCTACACCTGCTAGGGGCCAATACATACTACCCCCCTCTTCCTCATGTTACCCCTTCCCCTTACCTACTGCTAACAGCGGACTCTGCGCGCTGCACTCCCACACCTGCTGTAAGCCACTCCCCCGCACGTGCTCGTCTGTTA